TATTATTATTATTATTACTTCATTTATATATATATATATATATATATATATTAAGGAACGATCAAAAATTGTTACGCATCTATTTGGACAAATGATACAATAGAAATTAATAAAATTATGTTTGTCTGCGCTAATAGCGTTAACTGCAAATGAATCTAATTAGCAATTAGTCTTGAATTTTTGAAATCCAGATTTTTCAATTATTATTTTTTAAAAAAGGCATTTCTGAATTTGATGTTACAAGTCTTAATTGTGTAGCTTAATTATTGTGTGGCAAAATGTACTAAGGGACATTCAGAAGCACGAGTTTTTAGGAATAAAACATGCACTTTTCTGCTGTATGAATCATATATAATTTTCTTTCTTTGCAGTTCAGATTTAACAAATGGGATTAAATAATAAATAAGATAAGACATTTTGTTTGATTGAGTTTTTATGAGAAAAAATGGGTACCATCTATTAATTATTTTCTTACTTAAAATTAATAAGCTTACTTTAAACATGACAATTTGATTATAATTCAGATTGTCATGTTTATAGTAAGTCAGTAAAAAATATCTTTCTTGCTAGAAATAAACGGCTTGCCATCCTGCAACACTAGATTGCTGCTGGGCGTTCTTTTGCTATCACAATGAGATTCCATGGCTTGGGGGATTATGTATATGAATTATTGCTTCAAGAACACTTTTAAAGCAATGTGTGTAGATCATAAACTGCAACTGTTCGTAAACTGAAGCATACGATTAAAGATGAAATAACTGATGTTCCCAGAGACAAGTTATACCTAACATTCTTGAATTCTTATGACCAGCTATTAAATGGTGGAAGCCAACAGAAAGTACATGTTTCTGATGTTACTTAAAAAAAAAAACAGTTTGCAACATTTTTGAAAGTCCAGATAACGTGTTTGAAAAAATATTCTAGATAATTTTGCATTGTTACAATTTAATTATCTTTGTAATTTTTGTATATGAATACATTAATAATCAAGTGTGTATGATCGTTTTTGCTCTCAGATATATGTACTCAAAACCCTACAATCTGTAGAAATGGTGGAACTTGTAAAACAACACCGTCTGGAGGATATAAATGCAATTGTCCGCCAAATATCTCAGATCTGAAATGCCAAAAAGGTAAGAATGATTATCAAAGCTTAAGTTTCTAATAAATTAAGTTAGCACCAAAAATCTAATAAAGAATGAGTAAATATAGCTAAATCTATTACACGCTTAAATTCATTTTAAATAAAAATCCCCTTCTTATTGATTTCATTAATATAATACTGAGCCCACAAGGAAATAAAGTCAAAGACCGCAAAAATACTTATTTAAATTATGTTTTGAAGAAATATCAAAGTGTTCTCTTTCTCCAAAACATTTGGCTGGTATAATTTATCGAAAACAAATTACCTTTCTTTTAAAGAAAATAGCAAAATATACTCCAAACAACCTTTTAAAATATATGTTCATAAATTAATGTTAATTGATCTGCATACACACAAACATTGGCATAAGACTCGCTATAGCAAACTCAATTTTAACCTTAAACCTAACATCATTTAGATTTTAAAATTTAATTGTTTTTTAAAAAAATCTACATGACAAAAAATTCAATATATTTTCTTTATAGAAATGTATGTTAGACATTATAGTACAGTGTGAAAAATAGAAAAGCGAACACTTTAGTAACTTTTCATCTAATGATTAGATTTTCACGTACCAAGTTGCATGATTAGATTGACTAACTTCAAACATAATAAAATGCTCACGTTATTTTAATTTACGAAATCAGACGGAAATCATACTTGCCTTAAAAAAAGTACTTATTTTTAGATTTGTTTTATAGGCCGATGCAATTTGGGAAAAGATGTAATCTTCAAAATATAGTTTCATATGTTTACTCAGAATAGTGGTCGAATGTTTTAACCCTTATTGTTAATTTTACTTTTTGCGTATTTTGCCATATCTCGAGAACTTTTTAAGCTAATCAGAAATATGAAAGCAAGAAAAATTAATTTTACTTCTTATTAAACATTAATTTCGCTTTTAAAGCACTTCACCCCATTTCAGGAAATAAAACTAATAAAATAACTGTTTCAATCAATTGTAAAACTGGTTTATCAAAAGAAAATTCAGAGCAAAATTTTTTTTTTTATAATTTCACATTGTTTATTTGATTAATGGTCAAAGGAATTGTAAATTATAAGAACACAAACACTTACTTCATTTTAAGCTCTTACTTCGAAGCACTTACTTTATTTAAATGCCAAAGCCCAAAATTTGAATGGAATCTGTTTCTTGAGAAATGTAAATTTTGAAAATATAACAAATCAAAGAAATGTTACTCAGTATGAAAGAGGATCAAAACTTTTGAACTCTCTCCAGCCTAAACTTATGGAATCATATATTATGGGACCAATTTCTTGATTGTGACTTCTCACCATTTTTGTGGGTCTTAAATCTAAATCCCTGAAAACAAAGATACGTTTATTCAAACAACGTAAGTTGTTCGATTTCGTAATTCAAAATATCATTTGAGGAAATAGTTTAGCATATTTAAGGCAAAAATTCAAATATTAAATCAGAAGCTTTGAAGGTACAACACTTCTTAGAAAATGAGGGTAAATCCTTATGCTGTTTGGGTCTTCAAACTATTTGAGACTTATATCATATCTATAAAAGATTCATATACGAGAAAGCTCTAAAGGTTATTGTACAAAATACTAGCTGAGAAAAGAGATACGATATAAAATCAAAAAATATATGTAAACCTATAAAGTAAACTGAGCTTGATGATGATTCAGCATTTTATCTTATCAAATCTTTAAAAACTCATTAAATATTTAACAATTTGAGCACTTTTTTAGAGTATTTCTTATTTATATTATATATCAATATTAAATGTAAACACCACCGAGCAAAAAAAAATCAGGTGACTTTGAGTACAAATTTGAGATTGCATATAAGTTAAAACCTCATCAATTATTATTATTATTATGAAAGTTACATAATTCTAAAAAAGGTATGGAACTCAGATTTTGTTAATAATGAGTCACTTTGTAACAATTATAAGAACCTGTCAATAATCATGTAAAAAGTATAGCAAATATAGCAATGTTTTAATATTTTTTTAATGTTTTATCAATATTTTAATGTTTTATCAATAGTATAGCAATATTTTTTTATAATTTCCAATTTATATTATCCTAACAATAATCAAGCACATTAAATTGGTTAAAATATGACATAGTTGCTACCTCTTCCGTTTTCTAGATAATAATTCTATTTTCATATTTAATTTGGTAATATAATTCATGCCTAAATATTTCATTTTCAGTTTTAAAAATCTAATTTAAAATGATTTTGAGTTTCAATCTACATGAGTATATAAGACATAGACATATAAAAAGCTTGATATTATGCGAGAATTTTGTTTGGAGCTGATAAAATTTTTAAAAAATGAACTGCTTCTGATGTTCACTATATTTTTAATTTAACTATTATTAATAAAAACGTTTCTTAAAATGCAGACAGTAGCAAAAACAAATTTATGTCTAAAAATGTATTCACTATTTCTTAATGAAGTTTATGTTAAAATGTAATATTTTTATATATTTTTCTGTAACAATAGGATGTGAAGACTTAAAAGGAAATGAAGAATGCCAAAAAAGAGGAGAGCATTGGACTTGTTATAACAATAAACAAGACGAATCTAAATACACGTGCAACTGTCAGACTGGATATAAAATAAAGGACACCAAATGCATCGGTAAAAAATATACATAAGAACTATTTTTAATGCTTGAAATAAAAGAAATGTTAAACGAGAAACATTTTAAATTATTTACAGATTTTTAAACATACCACTGTAATACATTCAAAGATAGTGCTAATAAATCACAATGCTTTAGTTATAGAAACAGACCACGAAATAAAATATTCAAATAAATTCAGAGTAGGGATAAAAATGCCTGCTAGTCATTTGGTGTTTAATTAGTGTTGTTTACACTTAATTATTAAAAAAAAAGAAAATAAATGAAGAACTGTAAATAACGTTTGTGAAAAAAATCCCATGTTGTATTCGTCTAGCAGCGTGCTATTATTGTAGTCAATATACAAGGCGAATATAAAATAATTTTGCTGACATATGACCTTACAGAGTGCATACGTTTAAGTGAATGGAACTAAATTCGGTACATAAGCATTGTAGTCTATGCATTTAAGAATGTTGTTAAATTCGATTGCGTGTCTCTTATGTCTGTAGTAACAAAATTTCAAAACATTCCAATTGCAACACCTAATTGGTTTGATCGAAACGTAATCCTTACAGCAAGATATCTAAAATAGAGTTGGAACGATATTTTTAGCAGAAAGGATCGCAGCAGGAGCCGCCAATTTTACGTGTTTACCAATACGAAGAGAGTGTGATAAAAACCGTGTAGTGAATGGAGACTGATGCACGTTAAATCTGTCGAGTCTCAAAGTCCTCCATGTTCACAGAACAAATCAATACATCTGGGGGTACTGGTCCAGGAGTTTCCCTGTCTTTTGGATTGGTACAAAATTACTACGGTACTTAGGGTGCGGAGTTGAGCATTAGTAGTTATAAACTCAAAATTGGGTCGGCAGTTCAACAGCGGATATAAAAAAATATCTTATCTTTGCACATACTACTAAAATTAATGAAAACTTTCACTTTCGCTTCATGTTCACATGTTTGTTTTGTTCGAAGCTTTTGTAACAAGTTTGACACATTTTTTCACAGCAAGGAAAAGACAGAGAAACTTTGTTACATATTTTTTTAATAGACATGGCTCTAGACTTACTGAATGGTGAGTGAAATTGGAATTTACGAAACACAAATATTTCGAAAACGATGTATTCGCAATTGTTTATTTTCTTAAATTAATCAGCTCTATTACGAAAGTTAGGTTTCGTAGATTTTTAAAAAAAAAATTAGACTTATTCATTGAAAAAGTAGAAGCATAATTACTTTCTCCATGAGCCATATTAAAATAAATGTTACTACTAGAGTGATTGCTAATATGGATACACAATATATATAAATGTGTATATATAAATGACTGTATGCCTATATATGTGTTCTGTATATACTCCTAAGCCATCAATCCGAAAACGATGAACTTTGGCATACAGATAGTTCGAAACACGAAAAAGGTCACTGTCGACATTAGAACATTCTACGAGAAACTGTTTAAGTGGAATAAGCGAAACACGAAAATGGAATTTTCTAATTGTTCAAGAGTTAGAAATTGTCTTACATTTAACTAAGGGCAATTTAGTTTTACAAATATTATAAATATATCATTACTGATATTTGACAACCTAGAGCTCTATTTGATAAAAAAAAGTTTATTTGACTTACTTTAATCTTTTAGGCACTACGTCAGATAAATTCAATGAGCATTATTAACGTGGTATTTGTGTATTACGCCACCAAATTAATATTTCTAAAGTTATCGGAAATCACATGTTTATTTTGTTTAGAGAGTTCTTTTAAAATGTGCCTCCGTAGAAGTAAATAATTTAAAATCATCTATATATTATTATGCATAAATCAAATATAATTATGTATCAAAATATAATTAAGTATTCAAAGGCAAAATTAGGGGGAAATGGTATCTTTCGTTTATTAGAAACGTAAAAAATCGCAAAAATATTATTGACGTCAATGATTTTAAACTAATTTTAGATGATACATATACATTACTGTTAAAGTAATAAATCCGGCTATCATTAACACTAACCGGTCAATATTAAGAATAACCTCTTCTTTTGGTCAATGTGGGAAATATCGCAAATTATTCTCTTTAACTGGTTATTATTACAGATAACTAATGATGCATACCCTCCAACTTATGAGGATTCTGAAAATAATTCTTTCTAGTGGTAGCTAACCAAAGTAGAAATTTTTTAAGCAAATGAATCTGTCATAAAACTTTTATCCGAACTTAAGAATCTAGCCATATGGCCTGCACTTTTATAAGTAATAGTGAACAAATTACGCTAAAATTAATTTTTTTAAAATATTAAGACATTAATTTTGCTACCACCTGAAAAGAAGATTTCTGAAACTACGGAAATTCCGTAGCAATTGGAGGGTATCAAACATCATTGATGTCTGATCAATGTGATTAAACGGTTAACATAGCATAGGGACATGGATGTGCCTCTTTGTATTTTTCTTAAGGTTAAAGTGTGAACATACCCTACTGTTAAATATACCCTATTGATGTCACTACTTTATTTTATTTTCACTCATTCATAAATGCCCCAAAAATATCACTCACCTGGTTCTTCCACTAAACTCTTTAATTGCATTGGTATATGCTTTCCGGTTTTGTGTTTCTTGTTCATTGTTGATTGATTGATTTTTTGAGACTGGCAACATGACTTTCAACATAATTACAACGAACCCGCAAACTTTGGAGGTGTTGAAAAGACACGTGTATATGTGTGAACTCAAAAAACTGTCAGTTGTCTTGAAATAAGTTTTTGAAAAGCGTTCAAAAAAATAAGCGTCTTTGACATGGAGAGATAGAGTGCTCCTAGATTTCGCTTTAGATTCGGACAAAATGCAGAGAAAACTTTTACAAAGCAAAAACTGGAAAACAGATACAGTTTTTTTTCTGTCACGAGCCAAGATCTTAAGGTCGATTAAGGAATTCTATGAGAGAAGAAAAGAGGATGGAAGATTGGTCATGCTGTGGTAAGCCTTCACTTTCTAGAACAGAATAAAATTTCGATATAATCTCCGGATATTGCATGTTCTTTTCTCTCCTGACTGCAAAATTATCAGAAAACTATTGAATTTTAATCACATTAGCGTTCATCAGAATTTAGATAATTAATCTGAACTAAAAAGAAAGTAAATCATGTGATACCAAATGCCTAAAGAATTTCATCCCGAGTCACAACAATATTCTTTGTCCGGAACTATGTAAGAACGTGGAATTTAGAGCAGGATACACAGGTTTATGGCTTCTAATTTGATTTGATTTGTTCATTTACGTCGCACTAGAGTTGCACAATGGGTTATTGGCGACGGTCTGGGAAACATCCCTGAGGATGATCCGAAAACATGCCATCACAATTTTGATCCTCAACAGAGGGTATGGCACCCCCGCTTCGGTAGCCCGACGACCTGCACGCGAAATCGAGCACTTTACGGAAGAACAGTTTAACGAAGAGCAATACCGCACACACTCGGTCCCTACGCAGACTGATCCAAGGGGTCACCCACCCACACACTGACCGCAGGCAGTGATGCTTGACTTCGGTGATCTGCTGGGAACCGTGTCTTAACGATCAGTCCACTGCGGGACTTATGGCTCCAAAACTCACACTACTATTTAAGTATGTATGATCAATTTCTTTAGGGATGATTGAGAGTTCATCGCAAGCACGTCAATTTGAAACAGTGGGGAAAAATAATTAAAAATGCTTTTACTGATCTGAAAAATAATATTTCAGTATTCGAGTTCCAAAATTTTATAAAGATTGGAATAGAGGGAGAAAGGAGAATTCTTTAACTTTTCTAATTAATGCCAATCAGGGTACAAAATTAAGAACAATAAATGTGCTGATAAATATATATGTCTCAAATTAATTAACGTCTGATTTCAAAAAGAGTAGTGATATATTTTGGAAATTCATGACCAATTTTTAAAGTGCTTAAAAAGTAAATTTGTTTTAAATTCCTTATATTATATACAGTTCATTTGTTTTTCAGCTATAACTGGTTGTGAGGACAAAAGAGGGAACAAAATATGTCAAGAAAAAGGAGAATTCTTTACTTGCATTAATGACGAAAAAGATGCTACTCAATTCAGATGCGAATGCCAACCTGGATACAAAATTGAGAACAGGAAATGCGTCGGTAAAAATGTTTAGCTCTTCAATTTCTATTTCTTTGGAATTTAAAACAATTAGTGATTTTTATGAAACTCGAAATGAGCCCTTTGAAAGCATAGAACTTACTTTTTTTCCTGTTTATATATTTTAGTTGCTGAAGCTAAATACGATTACCCGTACGAATTAGAAAGATTTTAACTCTCAATAAATGAGTAATCGTGCATTTTTGTGCTTTGGGGATAAATAAGAAAATCTTGTATGAATTTTATTTCTTAAGTAATCTTAATGCTTACAGAATAAAGATTAAAATGCTAAATAAATTTTTCTTAATATAAAGTATCAATTTTTTAGTTATTTCCTTAAAGATTTACTTATTATTAGATAGTTTCGTCTTAGAGAATAGACGCCATAATCAAGCGTTTAGAATTTTTATAAAAATTATGTACCACATAAGAGAACCGTAGGAGAAAGAAAGCCTTCCTATTGTATGAAAGATAATTATCTAATAAAATTTACAATAAAAATATCAATTTATCACTAAGCATGCATTTAAATATTTTCATTTGACATTTTTAAACTTTCGAAATTTAAGCAATGAGGTTCATAAAGAGGTATATTTTTGTATTCCGATGATAAGTATTAAAAACGTATTTGGAGGCAATGCTTCCGGGTGCGTGAAAATTGTAATTTTTTTTCTAAAACTGAATACTATATAAGTATCATTTTAATGAATATAAAATAAGTATCATTTTAATGAATACAAAATTTGAGCGAATTTGGTCGAATATAGTAACTAAGGAATAAAGTTTTAAGGATACGACTTTTTAAAATTCGATTCATAATTTGCATCATTGCTTAAAGATTATTTAAGGTAAATTTTAAAATTGATAAAGCTTAAAATTCTTAAAATTCATAATATAGCATGTGTTAATTAAATACGCACGTTTATTATATACAATTTGTTTATTTATTAATGCGTGTAAATTGAATAAAATTCAGTCACTTTGTTACTCTTCTAATAAATAAATAAACTAAGAATAAGCAATTGTCCGAAAATAATACAGCAGTGAACGAAAATACTTTAATTAAATGTTTTTATTATTTTTCTAACTTCAAAAGACATTTTAAAAATTTACCAAACCTAGGAGTGTATACTTTATTTGCTTAGAAATATTACTTTTTTTTCTTTTCTTTCGAGTTGTTATGTGAAGACTATTTAATGGTTGTTAGACAATATTTCGCTTTTATAAGTTTTTGGTATTCATTCCAATATATTCTATAAACTAAAACACGCAACAGTTTCTGAAACTTTAAATCAATTAGCATGTTAATTGTGTAGTAAAAAATTATTTCATGTGGTAATTCTGTTTTATCTATTTCAGGTGTATGTGCCAAAATATGCCAAAATGGTGCAAAATGTACTAAAATGGGAAAATATGAATTCTGTAAATGCTTACCTGGAACTTTTAGTGATGATTGTGGAATAATACCCGATTGTATTGATGAAGTTGTAAAATGTAATGAAAAATCTGATTCAGTTTGTGGTTATAACGTACGATTAGAAGAAGCTGAATGTATCTGTAATAATTCTAGTTTAGCATACGACGGGAATACAGAAATTTGTAGGGGTAAGTTAAAGACTAATAAAACTGAAGAACACATTTTTGGTTGCATTTATGCAAGTAATTGATCCTTCCTAATTCCAGAACGGGGATTTCAAATATGAAATGAGTTTTGTTTCTAAAGCTAAACAATTTTATTTTTAATGACATCGTTTATAATAGAGAGTCACGTAAACGTTGCGACAAACTTTTAAGGAGTTAGGGCACATCATTGGATTTAAAATTACAGAGGAAATACCCGAAAATGTCTTCGTGTGCGGCTAGTAGCGCTTCCTTATTATGATCTGTTCAAAACACACGAAAAAACAGTTCATAATAGGGAAGAGCCACCTAGCGGCGTATGACGACATTTACGGGTATCTACTTCTATGCAATTTTAATTGTGATGATGTGCTCTCCTAGAAGTTTGACGCTACAATTATGCGATCCCTTGTTATATATAAAAATTTTAAGTTTGAACATTTTGACAAAAGAAAGGTTGAAAATTTTATAAAAAAAAATTAATTTGGAGAGAAATATCTGAAATTAGAGTTACGAAAGTATCTAAGACGTGTTAAAAAATTTCATGAAACGAAAACAAACAAAAATTTGTTCCCTAGAGTAATGTTTCTCAACAAATTTATTAATTTCCTACACAATATATAAGGAAATTTTTGATTGATTTGCAATATTGCATTGTTTTGAGTAAGGAAAGAAAACTGATAATGAGAAAAAAACTGGGTGTTCCATAATTATTACTCTTGATATTACCTTTCAGAGCCATGTCAAGATTAATGTTAAAAACATGTACACATTAAGGTTGGCAAATTAACCCTAAATCAAGAGGAAAATACTTTCAAAATCTGGAGAGTTTCTATTGTGAAAGAAAGAACGGAATGAATTAAAATCTATTTTATTACCGGAGAAAAAAGAGAGGCGTTAAAAAGCGATTATTACAAAGATCTCCAAATTTTTTCCGGCAATAAAACTGGTTTTGATAACTTTAATACCATCTTTTGCTCTAGTAAATAATATCGCTCATTTGGTGAAACAATGACGTAACTTGATTTTGCAGTTACGTCTTTGTCTCACCAAATGAGCGATATCTTTGCGGAAACATTTTTTTTTCACGGTTAAAATGTTAATTTATGAATGCTTCATTGACATCGTTTTTAACAGTGATTTTAAAGTACAGATTAAGTGAGATAATAACGGGAAAATCTTGCATTTTTATTTAGTTCAAAATAGCATGACTTGTTTCATTCGTAATAAAACGAATATTTTTTTTAAGCAATACAATCTAAAAATTTCGCATAAAAGGATCTCAGAAATCTGAAAAAATGAAAATATAGCTTATTTATGAATATTCTTTTACATTGGTGTTTACATTAATAAAAATGTGTACAAAAAATCGGTAAAAGTAGAACAGATTTAAATTTCGACACAATACTACTTTTTGCATGAAAAGCAATATTTTCATTGGATGCGATTTTCAGATTCTCACAATATACAATATCGGCAACTTTTATTTCATATTATCACTGTCGTTGAACAGCGGGCACAGTTTTGAGTTCACGACTACCATTGTTCACCTCCGAACCCTTATTTTGAAACCAACCCATAAGACAAGGGAACTACTGTATCAAGCTTTGGAAGAAATTTGTCTTCGATGAGAACATGTTCAATAGAACTAACCCTAATCTCCGTTAAACAGAGAGGAAATCCACGGAAATCCCGTGGTTAGCCCGGTGGCAAGTGGACTCTAACCCATGATCCGTCTATCAATGGGTATATTTTTTGTCAGCATTTTGGTGGGTGCGAGCTGGGTGCGGAATGCATACCCATCAGCCATTGCTGGAATTTGAAACCATTCACCTAATTGGAAGGCTCTATCCCTTGACCCAGAACGGCTCAGTATTGGGAAATTGAATAATATATTTTGAATATTTTTGTGAAAAAAGCTGTTGAAAATTAGGATTCCATATTCTTTTTATTGTTATCTGTACTTCGCTAAACCCCGGAGCAATTAAAGTAAATAAAGAAAAGATATTTTATCAGAAATTCTAAATTCCGAAATTTTTCGAACTATAAATTAAGCTAATTTTTTATTATTATTTTTTAACTATCAAATTTCAGTTTTTGAAAAAAATCCGCAGATTTTTAAAATTTTTTATTTTACTTTCAGTTACATGTAATGAAACAGAACCATGCAAAAATGGAGGTACTTGCAAAACTGTGGGAAACTATCACTTTTGTGACTGTATAGAAGGTACTTTAGGAGACAAATGCGAAAGTGTGAATTCTTGTGTTGAAGAAACATTAATATGCAATACAGAAAGCGGTGCTGTCTGTGGATTTAACGTATTAGATAAAAGACCAGAGTGTTTGTGTAGCAATGGATTAAAATATGATTCCAATATCAATTCATGCAGAGGTATACTTTTGATTTTCATTTGCTTTTCTTATAAACCTCAGCAACAGTTAAAATATTTACATAATTTTATCAATAAAAAATATGTCTGTCTTTTACAGGAGAATATCTTTTCCTTTCATCTAAGCATTGCAAGAGCTAGTATTTAGATCATTTATACATCTTATATTAGATATATTGCCCTTATTTTAGATATATTACTGTCATACTCCTTCTATTAAATATATTTTCCTTATATTAAGTTTCGATACTAGACCCAACGAGCACTTAGATACGCGCTCGTATCTAAGTACGTGCTCTTTAAAATTTTTGGAGCTCCTGTGGTCGGTCGCTGAACAGTACCAAGGGTACAGGGATCTGTGGAAAATTCCTTCCCCTTCTATTCTATGTCTAAATTGAGAAAGTGGCCTCATAGATTATAGTTATCTTAGACAAATTATTTTTATATTGCATAAATTAAACTGGGGAATTTTTTTTTCTGTTGTTATATATATTTTGTTGTTATTTATATTATTATTATTGATTTAGATTTTCGTGACATTGATTTCAAATTTGTAATCGGATTCCTTCTGCAATCTACAGTTTTTATGGAATTTAAAAATACATTCCCATAAAGAGGATTTTTTAAAATTAAGTGTCATCACTTTTGCTCTAGGTAGTGAGTAGTAGGTAGAAGGCGATAATACATTTAAGTTAATGATAAGAAATGATATGCTAATTAATTAGTATATATAACTAATTAATTAGTATATATATTAATTAGTATATACAGACGATATTTTAAGTTACGAAATACTACACAAAAAAGTACTTTCTCTGAATAAACATATCAACAAATTTCAACGAATCAGAAAGCTTTTTTTCAACAAATTCGATTTCAAACACCCAAAATATAGAGGATTGCCGCAATGTGGGGAATATGATCCCGTTTGTTTGGTCAGGAGAGCTATACAAAGTTTGGATCCCATAATTTTAATTTTACTTCTCACGTATTTTGCCATATCACTAGAAATTTTTAAGCGAATTGAAAAAAAAATTGCATATATTAATAAAATTCCTTTATCCAAAGATAATTCGATGTGAAGAATAAATTTTAGTAAATATTTATTATTTTTTAAAATAATAGTCGAAAAATGGGAAAAATTTTATATAGGCATGAAATTTTTACATGACTTTAAATTATCTAATTTTACATGGCAAAATACAAAATTTGAGCAAAGTCAGTTGAATAGTTCCTAAAAAAATCGAATCTTAAAGAAGTCGTATATTTAAAACTCAAATTCTCATGAAACTATTCAATTCAAGTCGCTTAAATAGTTCTCGAGATATGGCTAAATGCGCAAATGGTAAAATTAACATTAAGGGTTCCAAACGTTAGATCGCTCTCCTGTTTAAACTATGGGAACCATGTATCACCGGCTACCCCCTTAATTTTGGGGTTAGAAATCCGAATCCGTTGAAAAGTTATTCTGGGTGGTTTATGATGCACTGTATGTAAATAAACCTATTAGTTCTTTATAAACTTTTTCTTTCTGGCAAAAAAGAAATATCATTCTGAAAATTATTTTTAGCTTCTTGAATAAAACTAACATCAAAACCACCATAATAACCACCCTTAGTCCATGTTTATAGACTTGAAGACAAAACGGAATATAAAAGCGTACACACATGTAAGAGCACTTACCATATTTTTTTAAAGGTTAAAATACTACTAAAATTTGACTAAACGGAGAAAAATATTGAAACCTGTTTTATAACTAATAGGAACTTGAAGGTGTACTGAATAACACTTGCTGTATTTAAACAAGTAATTGATCTTACCTCATTCGAGTGTGGGGATTTCAAAGGTGAAGTTAGTTTTCTGAAGAAAGTCAAAAAGTTATTTCAAAGTGTTATTTTTAGTTCAGTTTATTTTTTTCTTCTAAACGCACAAGTTTATGAAGAACGTATAGGTCTATATACATACATACGCAATTGCGTGTTCTTTTGAAAATAATTTTAAAAAAAATAATAAATAAATAAAGATCAAATTGCATCATAAAGTGAAATATCACCTTTTTCCCACCACTCTTTGCGTATTGGAACTAAGGGAATTTAAAAAAATCTTAGTTAGGAATATATTATTCAATAGCATAAAAACTGCATATTATAAAGAAAAACCGATCACAGATTTGAAATTAATCTGACATTCGTTTAAAAGTTTCATGTAACTGAAAAAAAAAACAATCATTGTAATCATCTTTCAATATATTTTTATTACTTCCAACCCCCATTATGTATAATTTTTAGTTTTCATTTTCAACAAGTTTACTGAAATTATATACTTAATGTAGTTTTAGAGAAACACCGTGTTTGAGAAAGAAAGGATTTTTCCTCCTTTTTTTAAAAAGTGTTTACTAAAAACTATTATGAACTTCATTTTATATAGTGCTGTTTTTATTTATAATTTGAACTTTTCCTTTCTCATATTTTTTGTAAAGTTGAACAACCGACCCAATTATCTGTTTACGACTACCAATGTTCTACTCTATAGCTTTGTAAGCTTGAACTAAATCCAGAAGACAAGGGAACTCATTGATCAAGTATTGGGTGAAACTTGTCTTTGTGGAGCACTTTTTCATGAAACTATCCCGCATTTGTAATATATTGATAGAAAAACCACGGATGCCTTTCCCGGTTAGCCTTGACGGAAAGGGGACTCTAATCTATGATCCGTCTACCACTGGTGATATTTTACGTCAGCACTGTGGTAGGTTCACGCCTGATGCGGAATTCGTATTGACCAGCCAGAGTTGTGATTCGTACCCGTTTCACCTTATTGGAAAGCGTACACTCTATCCCTTGAACCACCGCCACTCCCCATCTTATATTTAATGATTCATAAACTAATTTTAATTTATATTTTTTAAAATTACTTTTTTTTATTTTTAAGAAAAGTTTTGTTTGTGTCCACATAAGCCACACGAGATAAATTAGAGTATAATTTGCTTTTTTCTTTCTTCAGAAACGTGCAAAACAGATGACGATTGCGAAAATGGAGCTGTTTGCAAACACATTGGTAATTACCACTTCTGCGAATGCCGTATTGGAACATATGGGCATCGATGTGAGAATGTAATTGACTGTGACAATAAAAACTTGATTTGCAAAGAAGGTAGTGGAGCTATATGCGACTACAACTTGAATCTGAATACCACTGAATGCATTTGTGGCAATGACTTGAAATACGATTCTGAAACAGAAGAGTGCAGAGGTAAATATAAATAGTTCTTCTTGAATAGTAACTCCACAGTTCTCCGTGATAAGATTGTCATAGTATCTTTTAGATGAGGTCATGATTCTTTATAGCTAAATTTTTATTATTTTACTCTTATTTGATCATTACATTAAAAATTTCGTCAACTTTACGACTAGTTAGAGCCTTTAATTCGTTGCTGGTATTTTTGCCTGTTTTGCCTTTTCTGATAATTAAATCTCACATTTGACTAAGTATAAGACGCGGTTCTCTGTGGATAGATGAAATTAAGCATGATGTGCTGTGATTAGAGAGCGGGTGGATGACCACTTTGATCACTCTACGAAAGCACCATAGGAGTGCGGTGCTTTGTCAAACTGTTCTTTTGTAAGGTGCTCAATTTTGCGCGCGTCTCGTCGAACTACCAATGAGGAGTAGTATTTCGCAGAGGATAAAAATTATGATGGCAGGATATCCAATCATCCTTGGGAATTTCCCCCCGACCAGAACCAATAAACAAAACTCGTATGAGCGAGAAGGACACAAATAAATTCTATGACACAAATAAATTTAGTAGTCCGACGTAACGAACATACGCTGCCCAACTAGAGGAAATAAGAAAGATGTTAAAATGTTAGGGCTACTAAATTGTGCAGTGGAAATTAATACAAAATATGTCACAACTTTCGGACTACAAAAGTATTGGATTTTTCATTTATGGTTATCCGTGTGCTGGCCTTTTTTTCTTCTAAGAGGTGTTGCATTAATAACCCATTTTGCTACTTTTGCTTGAAGTAAATAAAACGGTACTACAACTGACATCTGAAAGTATAATTAATTAGCTTTTTGTCACAATATTAAAATTAGTGTTAATTTATTAGTTGTTACTTCGCAAATGCGTCTTTGTTCTGGATGACTATTGAATTTCAAATTTTTTCCTGGCTATGTCAAATAGAATTAAGAATACTAGCTCCAGTCGGAATTCATTTTTAATCGAAATGTGTGCTATTTTCCTATGAGGGAGTGTGGTCAAATTTATCTGGACCTCTAAGCTATAATTAATGGATGGTTATACAACTTTCAGTCATTAATTGACTTTTTCAATCAGAGTATATTGCGAACAGAATTTATCATAAGTTGAATTTTTTTTCCAAGTTAATGTTCAAATTTCATCTCAGCTTTATTCCTATTCTAGTGTAAATTAAATTAGTTTCCTTCATCGTGTAAACTAAATTTATCTTCAATTGAAATGCTTATAACTTGCCAACCAAAGCATAAAAAATATATTGTATATAAAAATATATTATGTATAAAAATGTATTATATATAAAAATACGTAATATATAAAAATATATTATTAATATAAAAAAAATATACCATATATATATTTTTTTCAAGTTGAAGGCTTAAAGCAGAAAATCACTTTTATTTTTGTAACTTCTAAAACGAAAACGCAAGACGCATCATTTTCGTAGTTAACTTTATCACAACCGAAAATCAACTCGTATCTTTAAAAGAGTAACGTTTTTAACGTTTTTCGTTTTTAGTCTAACAAAAATAAATAAGAAAAGAATTTTCGCTTTTTTAGTTTATTTCATAAACGTATTTAAAATTTCTATTTCATTTTATGATTTCGAATGATATTTAAGATAAGCGATTACGTTTTCGTCGAATATTAATAAAAGTCAGCATTTTCGTCTTTTTGCAGGGACGTGAAACTTGTTTTTAATAACTTTTCAGACTTACACCTATAAAACAAAAGGGAACTAAAAGAAAATTCTGTCATAACTAAAATCGGTAAAATAAATTAAACATTGCTCTTTTAAAAAAAGTTTAATATGGGCTACTTCGTTATAGAATGAACTTAATTCGCCTATCTTTACAAAAATTAATAAGAGATTGTGGTATAAATCAGAAAAAGGGCTTTCAATGGTAGTACAAAAATGTCAAACGGCCCTTCTATTTAGATCTGCAGAAATAACTGGTGGTTATAATATAGTTTGTCTAAAGTAAGAGCTCCCCTTGCCTTCAGTCTGGACCCGTGGCGTTTACAATGGTAACGAGGTATAACTATTTTCAGTAGGGGTGTGGGGTCACTGTTTAGGACAGGTTTTGGCTCCAGTGGGCGAGAGAAAGATAATCTTTTTCTCCGGTCTATTGTGTTAACTCTAGATTGAAGAGAAGCTACCCTTCCTGAAATGTGCTATTCTTGTTGCCATTACAACAGACTGGCTCAGATTTTGTGGAGGGGAGAGTTCTTACTGTGGACAAACCATACGTAATTTACGTTGCACTAGAACTGTGCAATGGGGTACAATGGGGTAGATAGTTTGGAAAACATCACTGAAGATGATCAGGCTCTTACATTTTTGTTCTTCTGCGGAGGGGATCATTTCTGTTCTTTGATATCCTGACGACCAATGTGCGAGAACTAATACCGTTCACCCTCGTTCCTTTTCCAGACTAATCAAAATTAGTCTCTGACTGACATCAGCCAGTGATGCTTGATTTCAATGATCATCTGGAAACCGTGTCTACTATGGGACACGGGTAGACAAAAATGTTACTAAGGATAAAAGATTTGTGTGCCAACAGTTTCATAAGTTGAACTTTCCAAAACTTTTATAGCAGGATAAAAGGTTTTCCTTATAGTTTAGAGTTTAAACAGCATTTTATCCATAATTTTGTCCACCATTTTCACATGAACCATTTGAAGTGTATTCTGCAGTCGTTTTTTTATTTTATAACCAGCGTCGAACCGACGACCCAATTTTGAGTTTACAACTATCAATGTTTATCTCCATAGCCATTTTGAACCAAAGCCAGAAGAAAAGGAAGCTCATGGATGGAGCATTGGGACATTCTAGCCTATATGAAGGACTTTCTGGATGTAACTAATCCGAGTTTGTCTTACATGGGATGGAAAACCACTGAAACCACCCTCGGTTATCCCGATGGCAATGGATTCTAGATCATGATCGTCAACGACTAAGGATATTTTAAGTCAGCGTTTTAGTCGGTGCGATTCGGAAGCAGAATTCGTATTGACCAGCTACTGCTAGGATTCGAATCTGAGTTACCTCATTGGGATGAATACTGTATACCCTGCGTCACCGTGGCTCTCTGTGGTTATTAAGCAATGAAAGTAAAAGCCATGCATGATAAATCTAACGTTTATTTTAAAAATGAAAAATAACAATTGTCATTTAAGTACATATGAACACACTGTCAGTTCTAATAAAAGCAGCTAAATTAATTCTAACAAAGTCAGTTAAATTAAAAGCAGGTGGAACAACAGTACCATTTGTCATTCATTCAAAAACCCTAATTGGCATTCATGTCACAAATTCATTAAAAACAACAACTTCTCTTATAAAACAAAACTAACATGCATAAATTCTAAAAATTTTTTACTCAAAAATTAGAACAGATTTTTGCACGACTTAATTAAAAAAATTTGCGTAACTTTATTTTTAGAAACATGTAGTACTAAATCTGATTGTAAAAATGGTGCTGTTTGCAAATCCATTGGTAATTACAACTTCTGTGAATGCCTTGAGGGGACATATGGGGACAAATGTGAAAAAGTGAATGATTGTGAAAATTACAAAGTGAAGTGCAAACTCGATGGTCTTGCATCATGCGGCTACAATCCTGAACTGAAAATTGCTGAATGTATATGCGATAATGACCTGAAATACGACACTGAAAATGATGTATGCAGAGGTACTTATTGTCAATATTTCTTCTGATTTGTTATACGATATTTAATATCTTTTAACTTAAGTTATAACACTATTTAAAATTATGTCACGTGCAGATATACAAATAAATTGTTCCAGTTTGATTTTATTTCTAATTCATACATTAATGATTTAATACTTGTCCTCGTAGTATTGAGAGTAATGCTGTATAAAATGAACCAGTTACTATATTAATTCAAAAGCAATTTACAGATAGTCTAGAAAAGTAGACTGACCTGTTTTTTTAAGCTACCGATTTTTTTAAAAGTATTAAAAAATTGATACAAAGCATAACATCAATTTTCGATATTCCTCTAAACTTCATTTTACCTTATTGTTTATATGCTTGTTTTTTAATATTTAATAATATTTTGACTCATGTTATTTTTAAATTGATGCTTTGTATATTTTTTGTGTGTTACTTACACTTTTTAATGCATTATTGTGAATGCACGGTATACCAATTAATTTATACTATAAGCTGTTCAAAAAATTTTGCATTTTAAGCTTACTGAGGCCATTGAAGAACTAAAGAACAGTAAAACGGAACAAATTAGTATTTGCATTAAAACATATCTGCATATACGTTTTACCTGTTGTTGTTTCTAATGACACTTGGACAAGCCAAGCTCCACAGCCAGGGGCCCCCACCAGGGGGGGGGAATTTTTACACTAAATAAAACGAATAGTTTGGGGGGGGGAATTTAGAATTTGCCCGAGAATGCGCCCAAGAGCTTGGGGGGGATGAGGGCCACTGTCCACAGCCATTGGCCGTTTGCAAATTAAGTCAGGAAGTTATGCCTTTTGTTTGTCTAAAGAGCACAGCAAGGGTGAAAGTATAATGTAAGATATTGTATCATATTTAATAAATAAGATGAAGTATATTAACTCCGAATCACTCGGATAGATGGCAGCACCACTTATTCTCATATTCACTTCCTCAATTTAGGAATAGATCTGAAGGTGAAGAGATTTTTCTAAAAATCCCTGTACCCATGGTAATGCACAGTGACTGACCACAGGACTTTCGATACCACAGATTTTAGGAGCACGTATATTGTGTGTCGAGAATCAAGAGGAGTCAAGAATCGAACTCTAGCTCCTCCAGACCGTAGTCCGATTCTTCAAACCTAGTTGGCGAAGCTTCAAACACTAGGATACCGTGGTCTTGTTTCCATGGTTCTGTTATGTCATTTACTAGGACACCCCATTCTCTATTGCATGCATTCGAACACCCGAAACTCTTTTGTCATTTCAGTCTATCTTTGCAGGAATGGTGGAACTCCTTATGAATGAAATTTCAATTTATAAATCCTGTGAAACTTTTGATAGACATTTATTTTGGTACTATTTCGTTAAGGGGTTGTAAAAACTCAATCACACCGTAAAAGTAATTTATTACTAAATTAGATATTTGCCTATACATATTACCATACGATACCAGTAGCACCAATTATCGCAATTAATTAATTATTATTATTGCTAATAATTTCTAGGTGATTTTTAAACCCTCTACAGTAAAAAAAAGAGTAGTAGCAAAATAGGTAAAAATCTGGTAGGATATTGGGTTGAAATACAAATTTCATTTGAATCAACTTTTCTGTTTCGATCTCGTTGGTGTAACGCATCTTTCTCTCTTGTGCTAATTATTGACCATCAATAAAACTGAAATATAGCTCTAAATTCTTATGCTACTTGTGAAAATAATAAAACATTTGAAACAAAAATATGGAACAATTTGTTTGTATAAGCTTTTTATTGTTAAACTATTTTTTTGACGAATTTATACAGTTTGTTCTAGTTTTTCATCACCGACGAAAGGAAAAAGATAAATTTTATGGTTTTGTAACAGTAAAAAAACGGTTCATTTAGTACCAATCAGTATTATTGCTCTATATACATCTTTAAATAGCTAAATAAATGCTTCCACATAAAATAAAGAATAAAAATGTTTTAATTTCATTCGAAATGCAAAAAATGATAAAAAAAAATGCCTAGTGACGAAATAATTTTCTGAGCAAGGCGTCAATTAGTAAGGCTGTTAAAAAAGTAATAAGATGTTCATTCTTCAATAATGTGTTTACACTATCAATGCTTTTTTTCTGATATTGCTTTTAAATTATTTATCAAAGAGACATGTCGTTTGTTCATAAATAATCCTCCATAAAGCATCAAGCATAATTTTTTTTCTATGATTATAAGGTATTAGAAAGCAAAAATATACATCCATAGATTTATGAAACAGAAATTCAGTATTTTTTTAAATGGATAAATGGCCCAAGTTAGAGGCTAAACTATATGGTTTGATTATTATTATTCAATTTATTGTCGTAATATTGTAGTTGTTAATGACTGCCAGTTGTATTATACTATTGTAGTTTGAAATAAAACACATTCTAATTGCTGGTTGTTAGGCAATAATAGCTAATTGATCATTGATAAGAGTTTTCAGTATGTATATAAGTAAACTGATCTTAGTCTAGACATCTCTATAAAGAGAGAGATATTTTAATTACTTAACCTTTTGACTCAGATGGGACACTGGTGTCCCTTTTATATATATTTTTCTTCTAACGCTCTAATTACAAGGAAAAATATATCTTAGTATTTTTTAATTATAAAAAATTTCTTATAGTTACTTAAAAAAACTGTTAGATCGTTGGAATTATATTTGTATTTAAAAAAATCCCATAAAGTGGCTTGAACATTTTTTCATTCATATTCAAAAATTTATAAATTATAATTTTTTTAAATTAAGACATTTCCATGAAAAATAATTATTCTCTTAGATCGACAGCAAATAAGTGCAAATTTGTAAAATCATTTTTTAAAATTTAGCCCTGTTTTAAATATTTTACCTTCAACACTGAAAGACACCAGTTTTTATGCTGTATTTTATGTCCATAATCATTAAAATGCCAAATAAAATATTTTTGACTTATTTTGACCTAAATTGATACAAAATAGTGAAAGAAATATAAAAATATATCTAAAAAAGATTTGTTCTCAAGGGTATAAGGTATTAAAAAGTATTAATTCTTATATTCATCCTGCACATTGCTCCTCCATTCTCCCATTTAAGATCTGTCTCATCTGAATCTTAAAAAAGAACAATATTGAGATGCAAAAAAAAAAAAATGCATAATGCGCAAAGCAAATACGTGATCTTTCTTTTCTTTGGGAATCGTAATCTATTCAAAATTATAAAAATTTTTTGAATCTTTAAAGTAAAACTGTGTTTAGAAAATGTATGTTAGCACTTTTGTTAAATAAGTAAAAATTCTTGGAAACATAAAACAACTGTTTAATTGACTTATTTAGATAAAATTATTAACATTTAAAAAGCACCATTTTTGCTTATTTAATTTTTTAAGAAAATGAAATTGAAATTTTACTTTTCAGGCACATGTAGTACGGAAACTGATTGTCAAAATGCAGCTATTTGCAAATTGATTGGTAGTTACAACTTCTGCAATTGCCTTGATGGAACATATGGGCACCAATGTGAAAATGTGACTGATTGTGATGATAAAAAAGTGACGTGCAGACCCAGAAGCGGAGCAATGTGTGGGTACAATGCAGCACTTAAAGTCGCTGAATGTATCTGCGATGACGACATGAAATACGACTTTGAAACTGAATCGTGCAGAGGTAACTATAATCAGCCTTTCCTGACATAGTATGTAGTTAGACACCCGGAATAACTTGTCTAAATAACCAATCATTAAGTGGCAATAATCAGAATATGAAGCATTAAGTGGCAAATTTAAAACATCGAAGTTTCAACCTCAAGTTTACTAATTAACTAGTTCTATTTTTTTTAAAACTAAGTTTAGAAATTAAATAGAAAAGGGAACTTCCGGAAAAAAGCTGCATTCCGGAAAAACATGTTATCATTTTGTGCGCGTGTGTATAGTGCCATAACAATTTTATCAAAAATAATCTCAATATTTTATATTCATAAATAATTGTAACTTTTTCTAAGGATATATTCAAATGCCCGTTTTTTTTAAACTTTTTATAGAAACGTGCAATACAGGAGATTATTGTAAGAATGGAGCTCTCTGCAGGAGCATCGGTAATTACTACTTCTGCCAGTGCCGTAACGGAACATATGGGAACAACTGTGAACTTGTGACTGATTGTGATAATAACTATGTGACGTGTAAAGATGGAAGTAGAGCAACATGCGGCTACAACTTAAATCTGAATGTTACTGAATGTATATGTGATAATGACCTGAAATACGACTCTGAAACAGAAACATGCAAAGGTAATTGAAATCTTTACCTTTAGTTCGTGCAAACATTGCGTCACGCATTCAAAATCTTACAGAAAAGCAAAATTCTACGATTTTTTTTATACGATACAAATTTTTGGCTCTCACAATATGCAATTCACACTATTTGAAGCCTATAGTTCTAATATTTAAGTAAAGAAAGCTGTTGAATTTTCTCTCACTTCAATATGTGCTCATTTAGCCCATCTGAAGGAGATTTTTAAGCAATACAAAAAAAAAAAAAAAGAGTGCGTGAAGTCCCTCCGCGCGGAAGAAGTTAAACTTCGCAACCTGCGACGTTAATTGTAGAAGAATCAGCAGTCGTAGAAGGATCACTAGTTCGACTCATTTTCCTGCTCCGCTCGCTTCCGTGCTCTGTAATCACGGGCAGCAGAGCATATTA